CTCTGCAATCATCACCCCAAAACCCTCTTCTTGTTCTGACAAAGTAGAACAGACTAAATGTCTGATCCAGAGTGAGAGACCTTCTTGCTCCCAAGGTTTCCATCTGTACAACACATGGGCTCAGTTCTGCTTGTCAGATGTGGGATGGGAAGGCTCCTCCCTGCAACGTGCATTTCCTTGCATGAAGCCCAAAGATGAGTTGCCACAACCCAAGCAGCACAACCCGTAAGTCTCAACACAGATCCTTGCAAAGCCTGTGAAGTCTTGTCCTCACCACAACAAAGTGCCCTGTTCTTAATGCAGCTCTTCTCCTGCCAAGATGTGCTTGCTGAAAGCTGCTCACAGCAGACTAATCATTGTCCCTGTGAAAGCCAGACATGGGTCTCATTTTATTTGACTGCTTTGGGCGTGCAGAAACCCAGATCCCTCTAGACCATGGAGAAATAAGGCCACCAGAATCTAGTGCTGAGTTAGGGATCCACTGCTGACAGGATCATAAATCCCAGAGGGTGGGGTTTGTTTTTCTAAACCAGAGACCAGAAATTTGTGTGGAGGACAGGGAGCTGCTCTGGCAGCTCTTGCAACAATTTCATTAGTGCCACGAGATCAGTGTTCACTTGCACTGCAGAATATCCAGAGTCAGCCCCTCTGCTTTCCCAGTTACAGCCCCAGCACATGCCTACAGAAATCCTCCACATGCCATCAAGCTTTAATACTCTCTCCTATTCTTAGCCCCAGCTGGTCTTCTTATAGGCTGTTACTCAGCTACGTACTCCCTATTTTTGGCTGTCCTGCAGCCTCCCCCTGGCCTGTCCCTGCCCCACGAGGCCAGCCAGCTCCCCCTGTCCAAAAATTTCAGAGAAAAGCAAGTAAGCAATCCACTGCATCAAGCTTACCAGGAACTGCTGGGACATGGAGAGCTAGGACAAACCCCTTCCCCTGGACAAAATATCCTTTGGGTTTGCTTCTGCTCCTTACAGTGGCATCAGTCTCAGCCCCAGTTTGTACACCATATCACAGCAAGACATCAGGGCTGGAGGCAGAGCTGGTGCTTGTCCTCTCCCAAACTGCCATCTAGAGAAGAAAAATAGAGCTCCAGCCAGGGAGGAAGGATTCAAAGCATGTACCCACTTGCTGATATAGGGCATCCATCCAGAGCAGCTCCACCTGAGCTGTGGGGCTCATCCCCAACACCTGCTTTGCTGTACAAGGGCTTTTTCTGATTAAACTGGGGTGTTGAGGGGAGAAATGTCATTCTTCACAAAGCAGAAAGTCCTGTTTTAGAAAAACCTTCCAAAGTAAGAGCTGAGTCTTCCCCTCAGCTCCAGGGAGGCTATGGAAGGCAGGAACGTTTTGTGGCACACACACCTGTGTTATGATTTGAATCAGCAGGTAAAGATGAGTCTCTTCTCAATAACTTCAACGTGTTTCTGAAGCTGTTACCTCAATGCCTTGTCTCAGATGACATGTTTTATTTTCAATCCAAGTAGTACTTTGTCATCCAAAAACTGTTCCTGGCCACCTCACTCTTGGTTTTGTTTTTCTTCTTCTCTTTATGGTAGCAAATCAGAAAAGCCCTCAAGGACTGGCTTAGCCTGGGGATGGGAGTGAGAGCCAGGAAAAGCCTTGATTGGAGCCAGCCTGGCTGCCTTACCCTCTGCTGCTCGGCTTGAAACCCTCGCTGTGCTCAGGCCGGTGCCTGCCCCTGCAGGGTCCTGTCCCTGCTGTGACACAGGAGAGGGAAGCGTTTCAGCTCTGAAACGCCCACATGAAGTCCTCTGGGAGTTTAAGGACTTGAAAAATAACCAGACTGGGCAATATACAATAGGAATATGATGCTCAGGGCATATTTTTATTTTCCTTTTGGTGAAGCTCGGAGGTGGCTGTTCCAGCGCAGCCCCGGGATGTTGCTGCGCTGTCCCTGCTGTGACACAGGAGAGGGAAGCGTTTCAGCTCTGAAACGCCCACATGAAGTCCTCTGGGAGTTTAAGGACTTGAAAAATAACCAGACTGGGCAATATACAATAGGAATATGATGCTCAGGGCATATTTTTATTTTCCTTTTGGTGAAGCTCGGAGGTGGCTGTTCCAGCGCAGCCCCGGGATGTTGCTGCGGAGGAGCCCGGGGCTCAGGCAGGGATCCGGGCACGGGGCGGGCAGAGCATCAGCGGGGCTTGGGAGGGCAGGGACGGCATCTGTGGGTCACCTCCTTGTTTTCAAGCCGCCAGAAAGCCCGGGCGTGCCCCTGCAGG